CTAGTTAGGTTACAGGTATGACATATAGTGTAGAACCTTCGGGCGGACTACTTAAATTAGGCGACCAAAAGTTGCACATGTGGCTATATGTACTCTCGATAACCAAAAATGTATCACTAAAATACCTAATAAAAATCCACCCTTCCACAATATTGCGAAGGTATAAAAATAAAAAAATAAAAAAAAAAAATTAAATTTATTAGCCAATCAGACGAACTTCTGTCTATGAGTTACAAATAGATTCATAATTCAAATGGATTTTCAAACTTACACAAGAAAGGCAAGATAAATTAATCATTTCACAAAATACTATAAAAGTATCATAGTTCTAATTTTTATTTGCTTTTTTTGGATACTTCTTTTTGTTTTTTCTTTTATCGCATCATCGCGAAATAACGCTCTGGAGCATTATTTCGAGATAAAATATTTGACCAACTTATTAACTTTCGTTAGATTGTCTTAAAATAATGTCCTGGTGCATTATTTTGTGACGGTACCAGTATGTATTTTAAGCCTTCCGTGTTTGATTTTTTTTTTTGCTCATTCCATTAATTTTTTCTTTCAATCCTTTGTTTTATTTATCTGATTCTTTCTACTATTCTTAAAGTAGCACCTTCCTTCTTTTCGCTTTTTCTTCATTTCGTCTTTTCATCTTTTGTTCATTATTTCTTTCCTTTTTTGCTCATTTATTCCTTTTTTTGGGTTTTCCTTGTTCTTCTTTGTTGTTTCATTTTTATTGCTTTGAGTTTAGCTAAAGGTTTGTGTCACAAGTACTGTGGATAAGATGTAAATGTTAATGTAAATTTTAGATGAATACTAACTTGAGAAAAGTTTAAGAACAAAATTGTATAAAAATACTCAAGTTTTATTATCAATAAAATTGTTAAAATTCCTTATAAAAATTATTTTTACTTAATCACTTAAATTTTGCTTATTCACACAAAAATCAGATCCAATTAAATTATATACTTTTAATTTAAAAAATGGAAGCTACTGCATCAACAAGCCATCAATTTTCAGAAACTGTGTCGACACTTAGTATGTATACAATAACCAAAATTGTACCTCATATGAGATAAGCTCTATCTTGCGTGATTTTGTGCAAGTTATACTGTACAAGTCACTCATTATAATGAATACTTGACCTCAATATAGTGAAGTTAAACTCATCAATCTATATAAAGTTCTCTTGTAGTAAATTACTTCACTATAGCGAGTTTGACTTGTAATAAAATTAAAATTATTTAGTCCGCACAAATCATGCAAAATCGAAAATACAGTCAACACTTCCTAATTGCAACATCTCTAAATACATCTTTAAATTCTGGCCTATGTATATGCTTAATCTTAATAGTTTTTTAAATGCAAATTGCTAAATATTCGGTTCTGGCTAATTGCATTAAAGAGTATTGACTAATATTTTTGCTATCTTGTGCGAGTTGCATTTCTAAATTTTAACACTTGTAATTATTATAATCAGCTTAGTTAAAAATTAATTATTTTTTTATTATTAAAAAACATAAAAAATAATAGATACTATTCAAATTATTAATGCTAATGAACTTGCAAACGATAATGAAATACTGCTAGATGGACTATTTGATAATTTCGATCAATTTATAAATAAAATACATGAAAACTTAGATACAGACTCACCAATCCCTAAAGAGCTTTTACCATCAGAGGCTATTCCATTGATTCGTGAAGAAGGATCACGTCGAGGAAAATCACTAGAAGGCTCAGAGTATCTTTTTCCACTAAATACGGATTTTGAAGGTTGGATCAAAGATTTTGAAACTGCAAAGGCATCAAAATATATAAAACGTCAGGAAAATCAATCAGTAAATGGAACTTGTACTTACTATAGATGTCACTGTAGAGGAACATATGAAAGTGTAGCTGGAAATAATCTAAGTGATAAAAAATAAAGAAAAATTCAAAAACAATTTATAAAATGCAGCTGCAAATCACAACTAATTGTTACTAAAACCAGCGGTCCTGGTATGCTGCAAATGATTGTAAAATACATACCACATTCAGGGCATATTCCTAGTTCTACTGAGGATATAGGAATGTTAAGAATCTCTCAAGAAGTTCAGGAATGGATTGCTAATAGTATTTGTGCTGAGTTAAATATTAAGGAAATATGCCAATTATTTCAAAAAAGAGCCCGAGACATGAAAAAAACTTGGAAAGAGCAAAGACCGGACGATATTGTTAAGATTCAGGATAATTTAATTACATGAGATGATATATATAATATTTGGAAGGAAGTAGTAATGGAAGAAAAAATGTTACATAAATCAGAAAGCCAAAGTTTAGAACTTTAGAAATTTAAAATTGAAGAAAATTATGACCTTATATGTTCGGTTCCGCAGCCGGGAGATGTTATTGGAAGACTTTTTGAATTTACTATCCCTATTGGAAGAGAAATTATTCAAGATGTGTCAACAATCCTTCTCGTTTCAACACACGGGACAAATAAAGATAACGATCTTTTGTTTACTTTACTTTCGCCTAATCCTAAAACCGTAAAGGGGTTCCAATTGCTCATCTTCTTTCTTCTAGAAAAAACACCGAATCGATTCAATATTGGCTTCAATGTCTTCGTTAACAATTTTTTAATTAGAAAGGACCTGCGGTATTTCTTGTAGATTGTGACCCCGCACAAATAAAGGCACTTCGCATAGTGTTTCCTGAAAGTAAAATTTTTATCTGCTGGAGGCATCTTATGAGAGCTTGGCAGGAAAATATAAGAAAAGTATGTAAGGATAAAGAAGAAATTATGAATTGTAAATTAGATGCTTTAGAAAAAAAACACTAAAAGAAGAGGTCTTAGCTGATATGAAACACTTAATGCAAAATGATGATATTACAAGTGTTGATAGTAATATTGCTCTTTTTTTGGAAAAGTGGAAAGACTCAACATCATTTATTACTTATTTCAAACATCAATAGTTAAATCAAACAGAAGAAAATGGTATTGATCAAACGATGTGGATTAAAGCCTACTGTACTGAAACATCTTATGCTAACATGGACACAACGAATATGCTTGAATCCTGGCACAGACATCTTAAATATGACCATTTCAATTGTAAACAAAATAGAAGAAAAGACGTATTA